ATACTTTTTTAGTTCCTCATAATAAGCAATCCTTCGGACACCTGGATACCACTTGCTGACTACCCAAGCAACTAGTTTGGATTTTTCTGGAATGGTAAAGCTTTGCGGTTCCTTCAGAACTTCGATCTGACCATATGGGACAAAAACATCTGAATCCTGACGGAATGTCAGAGTCATATTGAATAAGTTGTCCAACATGTCCAGGTTTTTGATAATCAGCGGTGGCTCCACATTGGCCCACACCCAGTATTGAAAAATAGGTCGTGGCTGTTGAGGCAATAGATTTTTGTTATACATTATCTCAACATGATGTATGATAACACCATTGGCAACACTATATAGACTCCTGTCTGTCGTCATCTTGCAGCCTGGGATACCAAAATCTTGGTAGCACCTATCTAATGGGAATGTATATCCCCAAGGCCAGTCCCAAATAAGGATGAGAACCTCTTTCTCTTTCTTTAGCTGGGAAATCTCTTTCTCTGTTGTATTCTGGGTATTTTTTTTCCTGTATCAATGTCTTTTTTGCACATACTGAGTTTCTTCCTGTTATATCCACATAATTCCAGATAATGGACTGCAGGGTAAGAAGCAGCAGAAATATTATTACAGTCTTCTTGTTGAGACAATCCAAATTCATTATGCTTCTGGAAGGAAATAAAATACATGATGATTGCTGCAATTTAGGCAATATAGTAAATAAAATATTCTGACATATGGATATATAGGGTATGTAAACCTATCCTTTTGCTATCATGACTGAAAAGTTGGCATGTAGTTCAGATGTTTGCAATGAATGCTGCTGCTGCTGCTAATGCTACAGCATACAAATACATTTTAGAAAATTGTGTGCTATTCCAACCCTTTTCTGTTGGAAAATAACTGCCCTTGTGCAAAAAGACATGGTTTGAGGAGTTTGCAATAGAGGAACTCAAGAAGCCTACACAGAACCCTGACTTTAACCCTACTGAACACCATTAGGATGAATTGCAATGCTGATTGTGAGCCAGGTCTTTCCGTCCATTATCAGTACCTGACCTCACAAATTATTTTTTTCCATTGAACCTGTCCAAAAACGTATGGAAAACTGTACATTAATTCCAATGGCTTTGCAATCATCTCATATAGGTGTGATTGTTAAACTTCCTGAGTGACCTTGGAGCCTTAAAACTTGAGATGTCCAATTATACAACCCTAGACTTCAGCTCATAAAGTCACGTTCTGGCTTCCCACTTCAAATCTCCTCCACCCTGTTAGGGGTACCCTTAGGGTTTAATAGATGGGTTCTCTAACCAATAATGTAGTTTGAGAGGTGGGTAACTAGAGCTCAACCTTCCATGTTGGATTTAACATTTGCATTAAATAAATGCCTGAATTTTGGGAATATTAGGGTGCTAAAGATACAAGCAGGCACCTTTTAATTTATTGTAACTTTTTATTAAGGGCCAGTACCCATTTTTTCCAGAACATAGTTACAACAACAACAACAACACTTTGGGTGTAAATGTTCCAATGAAATAAAACCATCATCAGTATAAGAGAAAACACAAACAGAAGAAATATGAACATAAATAGATAGCATGGTAATCTGCACAGTACAAAGGCATAAATAAACATAAGCCTGCACATCGTTGGGTTACATTATTTGTCAAAGGCATGTTATTTAAAGAGGTGTCTGGACTATATAAGGGGTGGGGGGGGAAGAGGAGGAGAGGAAAGAAAGTCTACCAAAGGGAGAATGGTCCCATAGCTCCCAAATAGACCGAAAGTGACCTAAGTGTTCACCCACTAGAGCTGTAAGATTCTCCATTTCCCTGATTTCAGAGATCGCTCTTAAGAGATGATTTAGCATGGGAACATCAACTGATTTCCAGAGTCGTTGTATCACCCATCTAGCGGCTGTCAGAATATGTATTCCCAACCTCTTAGATTGCTTAGAGATACCCCTAAAGGGTAGTCCCAAAAGACAGTGTAGCGGATCTAGGGGTAGAGTAACATTGAGTACTTGCTCCAAGACTATTCTAACCATAGCCCAGTAATCCACAATCTGTGGACAAAACCAAAAGATGTGTGCCAAGGTACCTACTCCTTCCATGCACCTCCAGCACTTGTCAGACAGATTTGGGTTGATCGCATGGAGCACTACAGGGGTCTTGTACCAATGCATCAATATTTTATTTAAGTTTTCCTTATACACAACGCAACAAGAGGTCTTAGCAACAGAATCCCAAATCACCAAATGGATATTAAGGGGCATAACTTCCATCTTTGAAGTGTTTATTTTATAGCCAGATAAATCACTAAAGGTTTATATAAGTTTTTGCAATACAGGTAATGAGAACTGAGGCTTAGTTATAGTCAATAGAACATCATCTGCAAAAAGTGAGAAGTTATATTCCTTCCCCCTCACAGTCAGGGTGTACTCTGATCGCTACTGCTAAAGGTTCAAGACATAACACAAATAGAAGCGGGGACAGAAGGCATCCCTGTCTAGTTCTGTTGAGCATGGCAAAAGTCAAGGGTGTGGCATAGGGAAGCTTAACCTCTGTGGTAGGCCGTGAATACAGGGCCGTAATAGCATTAAAAAATGTCCCTTGTATTCACACATGTCACAGTAATTCAAACATATAAGGCCATCCCAACCGGTCAAATGCCTTCTGGGCATTTAAACTTAGCAATAGTGCTGGTGTTCATGAGCCATGGAGTACATCAACTAAGTTGATCGTACTTCTAGTGCTGTCCCCTGCCTGTCTCACCAAGACAAATCCCACCTGATCGTTATGGATGATTTTGGGAAGCAAAGGAGTCAAACGATTTGCTAAGAGTTTCGTAAAAATTTTATAATCCGTGTTTAATAATGCTATGGGCCTGCAGTTAGCTGGGGTTGTTAGGTTTTTGCCTGGTTTGGGAATGACTGTGATACGAGAGTGCTGAAATTGCAGATGAGGTTCTTCTCCGCTCAGCAGAGAAGAGTAAAATTCCAATAGGGCAGGGCCTATATCAGCGATAAATTGCTTATATTATGTGTAGGAAAACCCGTCTGGTCTTGGCGCTTTGTGCGACGGTAGCTCCTTAACAACTGCACACAGTTCCTCCATAGTAATGTGTGCATTCAGAGTTAGTCTATCTTCCCTTTTCAATTAGGGAGATGAAGCGCTCCTTGGTAGCTGACATTGGAGCCTACATTGCTGATGTCACACCGCTGCTATCAAGGAGCGGCGGCCATCTTGGTATTTGATTGTACAATTTATTTACTCCACGCGGATGTTTTCTTACTACTGTGATTTAAATTCATCAATAAATACTGCACTATATAAGCACTTTCTGGCTCCTGTGGTTGAGCTGATTCCCCCCAGGATTAGATGACACCTGCCTCAACTGATGGACAGAGGGAGCTGCAGGAGTAAATCCAGAGATGTCATTATACCCCCAGATGTGTGATATAAACAGATGCACTGATTTACATGCAGTCTGGTGAGTGTACATCCATCCGAGGCGGTGGATTATCTTCATCAATAACCGCATGTTTGCACTTGTACACTTGGATAAAGGACATTAGCAGTTTTCACTGCCTGCTCTATAATATTTGTGGTCGTCACGGACTCTCAGTGATTTATTTGATTGCACTATTCACGCACTTGTTTTCACTTTATATATTCGAGTATGAAATAAGATACTTATGTTTCATGACTTTACAGTGCTGCACATTTATGATATATGTTTTAAAACATGGATGTATACTGTTTTAAAACATGTTTTGAGGGCAATTGGCCTCGAAGGGATCTACTATCGTGTGCAACTGATATGGATAGAATAAAAGCGGGGAAATAGCATCTCTAAAAAACACCAATTGATTAGTATTTGAAGCATACACATTAATGATTGTAATACGGACATCACCGTATTGACATTGCAGTAGTATAAATCTGCCCAGTGTGTCTAGTACCGAGGATACCACCCGGATAGGGCAGCCTTTCTTAATGAGAATAGTGACACCTGCTTTAGGGTCCATGTACACAGGGCATTTGGAAAACTCTTCTGAACGATGGAAACTGACTGCTGGAAAACGTAGGTTAAAAAATGTCAGTTTAGCAGCGTTTGCATAACGCGTTTAGCTGCGTTTATGCACGTTTGCGTTTAGAAGCATTTTTAAAAGATAACCTCAGGAGACCTTCCCAAATGCCCAGAATGCACTGAAAAATAGTAAATTCACTAAAAAAGGCTACTAAAATACAGCATTAGTTATTTTATCAAATCATGCAGTATTTTAGTAGTGAAAAGCATGCATTACTGTTTCAGCTGTCAGCGGGATTCCCACTGACAGCTGAATGTAAAAGAAAGAATTGCCGGCAATTTAAAAAAAAAATGAAAAAACGGCGTGGGGTCCCCCCCTCCCATTCATACCAAGCCCTTTGGGTCTGGTATTGATTTTGAAGGGAAGCCCCATGCTAAAATTAAAAAAAAAATGGTGTTGGTAGTGAAAAGCATGCATTAATATTTCAGCTGTCAGCGGGCTTCCCACTGACAGCTGAATGTAAAAGAAAGAATTGCTGGAAATTAAAAAATTATTTTAAAAAATGGCATGGGTTTCCGCCCAAAATCCATACCAGACACTTATCCGAGGATGCAGCCCAACAGGTCAGGAAAGGGGGGGGCCAGCACCCCCCCTCCTGAACCATAACAGGCCACATACTCTCAACATGGGGATGCTTTGGGGTAGGGGGAGCTTCCCCCCCAAAGCCCCTTGTCCCCTTTTTACAAAAAAATTGGGTTATGTATTGTGCTTTGTTTTTTTTTCTTTAACCACCTCCCGTTGTATATAAAACGGCAGGACGGTGGCAGTGCAGGGTCGGGTGTCCTATTATAAACGGCCTCCCCATCCCCTGCTTGTGCGCACTCCCTGGGAGCGTGCAGCACCCGCGATCCGGTGCCCGCTGTGTCCTCCGGACACAGTGGAAACCCGGTCGTCATACGGGACCTCTGTGCGAGGTCCCGATCACATGCAGAGTAATAAGCAAGATGTCACTTCTGACATCATTGCTTACTACGTGTGAAATCTGTGAATGATCACAGAGGTCACATGGTACAAGGCCATTCACAACAGCCTTGTACCATGTGACAAGCTGTGACCACTCACAGCTCACACAGTAGTTCTCAATGGCTGCAAGAATGCAGCCATAGAGAAGGAGAAATGATTGCTTTTACAGCCTTTATGGGTGTAAAAGCAATCAGTGCAAGAAAAAAATAAATATTCATCATCCCCCACAAGTAATACAGTGTCACCATGTAAAAAAAAAAAAAACCATAAATAATAATCTAGATTGTAAGCTTCAAGGAGCAGGGCCCTCGAATTCCTCGTGTATTGTATTGTTACTGTATTGTCTCATGTACTGTCTCCCACTATAATGTACAGCGCTGAGCAAACTTTTTAGTGCTATATAAATACTGTATAATAATAATAATATAAAAAAAAATAAAATAAAAATGTAAAAAAAAAATGTTTAAAAATTATAATTTTTGGTTATAAACTAATTTGGGCTATTTTTTTTTTTTACTAAAAAGATAACGGAATACATTTTGGCCAAGATTTATGATGAAATATTCTTTATTTGCAAAATTTTATCAGAGAAACAAATTTTTGGACTTTTTCATTTACATAGCAAAAAAAATAAAAATCCCAACGGTGAATAAATACCACCAAAATAAAGCTTTATCTGTCTCAAAAAAATGCTAAATAATTTATATGGGTACAGTGTTGAATGACCGCGCAATTGTCTTTCAAAGTGTGATATCACTGAAAGCTGAAAATTGGCCTGGACAGGAAGGGGGTAAGAGTGTCTGGACTTGAAGTGGTTAATTCCTTAACCTCCCTGGCGGTATTCCCGAGTGTAGCTCGAGGTAAAGTTTCAGAACCAAAAGCGGTAACCCCGAGCTACACTCGGGAATACCATGCAGCGTTGCTCAGGGATTCCCTGTAGCACTTACCTTGTCCTGCGCTCCCGCGATGTGTCCCCTGCAGTGTCCCCGGTCATCTCCTCCAGCCGATGCTGGCATCCGTCTTTCGTGTTCCGGTCCTTGCGAGCATCGGGATGCGGCGGGAGATTTGAAAATGTTAAAAACTGACATTCACAAAATACACTAAAATCACATAGTAAAACATTACTGTATCAAACCATTTCACATACATGTTGTCCCGAGTGCTTTGTCCTGTGCCCTGCCTGCATTTTTACTGTTCTTTCTGCCTGGAAACTTAGAAAAGTCCATGGCGTCCAAAAAGCATCCCTTTAGGTCAAAAGCAGTTTTAGACCAGCTAGAGAACAGCGATAGTAAATCAGAACCACTTGCAGAACTGAGTGATAATGATTCGTGGGGAAATTCATCATCAGACACTGAAAACGATTTTGCGACTTTGCTCAGTGTGAACTTGGCGCTATATTTCAAATTTCAGTGTTTTTGGTTTGATTATATTATTGAATTAAATTTATTATTATTATTTTTTATGATTATTTATTATATTATAATTTATGATTTCGTGTTTCAAGTTTTATTATACCCGGGATGTTTACTAGACTCTTCAGACAGATTTCAGTGAGTTGTTCCTAAAAATGACAGGCCTACAATAAAAAAAATACATATTTCCATGCAAAAAAATGTACCGCTTTCAGCACAGAAATATGGACATAATCAGACCGCTAGGGAGGTCTGTCAACAGAGTTTAAAACATTTCTGCACACATACCGTGTGATAGAAAAAATTGCAATAACCACTATTTTATTCTCTAGGGCCTCTGCTAAAAAAATAGATAATGTCTTGGGGTTCTAAGTAATTTTCTAGCAAAAAACACTAATTTCTATACATATGAGAGAAGTGTCAGATTTGGCCCGGTAAGCAAGTGGTTAAAGGGGTGCTATGCATGCTGTATCAAAAGAACAGGGCTTACATCAGGGGACTGGAGAGCAGGGGCGGACTGACCATTCGAGCACTCGGGCACTGCCCGAGGGCCCGGGGTCAATAGGGGACCCCATGAAATGCCCCTGGTACTTTTTATAGGCTTTTTTGGGTGTGCTTTGAGTGTGGGCAAGGACACAGGGGCCCCATGATCCCTTATTGCCCGGGGGCCCCATGAGTTGTCAGTCCAGCCCTGCTGGAGAGTTGGAAAAGATACAGTACATTAAGCCCAGTATGTAGGATGATGTCTAGTGTAGCTTATATTGCCATTGCTAGGGACAACTGTATTTGTACCTTTGCTAAAGGCAGCCAACCAGCCACGGAACGGGTGACAGGAAAGGGTGATGGTCACTCTGGTAGTGAAGGGGTATTATGCTTAGTCCCTTCACTATCAATCGGCTCCACACATACTGGGCCCAACCTTTAAGCACAGAGTGCCTAGGGACTTGGCTGTTAGTAATGGGAGAGAGAGATGTAGCGAGGCCTCGAAAGGAGAACAAGCATGTAATTACAGTAGAAGTTTGTTTCCTGTATCCAGTAGCAATAGTTGGACAGGTCAACGAGAGTGAGATGACAGGGATTTCTGCGCTGGTGGAGACTGGTACAGGCTCTGCAGTACCAGTCCCTAAATGTTACACACCTGGAGAAATGATGTTCTCGAACAATTAGTTGAGTCTTGACTATCGGTTACAGAGAATTAACCGTGCAAGTGCTGCTTGCTTCTATGTTTGGGAGATCTGCCTTAATTTTGTTTTACATGACCGCAGCTCCCTGCCTAAATTTAGGCATTAGTGAGTGCAGTTCCACTGTGTCCCCATTAGGGTGCCTTAAGCCCCACCCACAAGCATATTTCCACTTTGAGTTCAGGTCTACTTTATATGGGAGAATCCTAAAAAAACTATAGACATTCTTTAACGCAATGTACTAAGCCTTCCGATAATTTTGATATAGGGTTAACCACTTGCCACTCACCCACAGTGCATCTATGCAGGCAGGCAGCAGCTGCAGGCTAGTCAACGTACATTAACATCGCTGCCTGCTCCTGGGTTTTTAGGGACATGCGTGCACGCCCCCTGCTGGCCTGTGCTGTGATTGGACACAGCATGAGTCTCTCAACAGTTTTCAGTCAATAAATTTGCCTGGAAACTACTGATCGGCTGTGTCCAATCACAGCACAAAGTCCTCTGTTTACAAACACACAGAACTCTGCATACACAGAACAATGATCTGGCTCTTTCTTCTACCTGAAAATCAGGGAGAAAAACCAGCCAGATCTGTGAGTAAAAGCAGCACACATTACACTTATTAGGCACACAGCTAACCCTTTGATTGCCCTTTGATGTTAACCTCTATCCAGTCAATGTGATTAGTACAGTGTACAGTATTAGATTTGATCACTATATCAGTGTCACTAGAAACATTAGTGTCAGCTAGTGACCCTCCCAGCCAGTGTCAGCGTCAGATTGTCTGCCACTCTATCACATTTCACATTCACGCTATAAGTTGCTCATTGCTGCCATTACAAGTATAGTGTCTATAGCTGCGTAAATTCCACTATATATATATATATATATATATCTTAGTTTGTAGACACTATAACTTTCACACAAATCAATTAATATACACTTATTGGGATTTGATCTGGTATTTTGATTGATTTTTTTAAACATTTTTATTGCATATGTTTTATAATAGAAAGTCGAAAATATTGGGGTTTTTCTTTTCAAAATTTCTGGTCTTTTTTCATTTATATAATAAGAAATAAAAACCTAGTTCTGATCAAATACCACCAAAAAAAGCTATGTTTGTGTAAACAAATTATGAAAAATTTAATTTGGGTACAGTGTTGCATGGCTGTGCAATTGCCAGTTACCATTTCCTGGAAAAAACAGGGGTAAAACCTTCCAGAGGTTGTGATTAACAAGTCAGGATCTCTCAACAAATAAAAATCATTGCTAATTGACCTAATTGTCCTCCTGTTGAATTGTATCAGTGTCTACTTCAATCAGGCTATTAAAAGCAATCAACTGCATCTCGAATTTTATAGAAGAAAGTATTATCTGATATCTAGCTTCTCATATTGTATTATTTAAATCCCTTGTTTTCATGACAGTCTCTGAGCTTAACAAAAAGAAATACCGTATGTGTCAAGTTCAGTGCAGTATACCAAGAATTTTAATTAAAAAAAAAAACTTTGTTTCTAAAGTGAACCAAAAAAAAATATACTACACAATGGGCAAATGATAGATAGAATAGAAGCCATAATGTTGATGGATAGAATTTTTCACACTCTGATATGTCTCTCTTCCCAGACGTGACATATGATCTTCCAGTAGACATTTGTTTGTATATTGATTCTGTATACAACCATTATAAAGATTTATTACTTTGAATATTTTGAGATATGTTTTACCTTTTTTATTTTTTGTTCCTTTTTTTGACATTATTATTAATACAATGTAGTTTTAAATGACTATTACATAAACTCTCTGATTGTTTTACTGCTTTATAGACATGTACCACTTTTCTATACCTACATGGAATGTTATGTCCATGATACTAATTGTTTATACCTTTTTGTATGTCTACCCTATACCTTTTGTTTGCTGTTACAGAAATAAACAGAAAAATATACTATACAGCACGGCTCAAAATTTCAAGCCCTGAGCTTCTTGTCAGGCCTTACTCGCTATTAGTTGCCCCCTACCCAACCCCTACCCTGCCCCACCCCTAATTCTGCCCCTAAACATTCCCTAGTAAATTATCTCATGAAATGACACTGTTAAATGTTTTATACAGCATAAAGTTACAAAAATAAATATTAAATAAATACCCATCAGGATCCCATCAGAGTCCCCCTTTACATCAGGTGTCCCATAAGAGTCCCCCTTTACATCAGGTGTCCCTATCACAGTCCCCCTTACATCAGATGTCCCGACATGACACTAACTACTACCACGCAAACTCTTTTGGCTGCACTCATGAAAGCTATTGTTTTCATTTATAAGGGAAGAGGAAGAGGGGAGGGGAGGAAGAGAGATATGGAAGGAAGGAAAGAAGGCAGGGAATGGCTGGAGGAAGGAAGGAAGGAAGGAAGGAAGGAAGGAAGGAAGGAAGGAAGGAAGGAAGGAAGGGAGGCAGGGAGGGCTGGCAGGGAATGGAAGGAGGAAGGAAGGAAGAAAGGAAGGAAGGAAGGAAGGAAGGAAGGAAGGAAAGGAGGCAGGGAATGGCTGGAGGAAGGAAGGAAGGAAGGAAGGAAGGAAGGAAGGAAGGCAGGGAATAGTCAAAGGCTGA